GCGAAGATGTTGAAAATCACATGAGAAGCTCTTTGAGAAAAATAAAACTATTTGAAAATAGAAACTACTCATATGCAATCTACAGAACCACAGTTGAAAAATATATTGCTTTTTAAGAGTAAGAATAAGTGTTTCTACCTGGGAAGTGATAATGAAGAACAGACTCACTTTTTTCAAGTGCAACCCTCCCCTCCAAGCTGTCCTGTACTAACTACTGCCTTTGAAATAGATGTGTTCACACGTATTTGCTTGTTCTAAAAGCACACAGACCTCAGTGAGTATAGTCTTTTAAACCTAGCTCCCATACCCAATGCAGGAAGACACTGAGCAAATTGTTAAATAGCCTTATCTGCCTGTGAGCCAGGCCAACTTATGCCATTCACACAAGCTGCTACTGAAGCAGTGCCCTGTATGGACTCCTAGCGCAAACATGCCACACTGCAATCAGCACTGCCCAAAGCCAGCGTGTGCAGCTATAGGATTCACCTTGCTTCAACAGGGCTTCATCTGGTGCAATTGCACACAGCTGGGAGCAAAGCTGTCAGGAGAGAAACACTCATTAGGATGACAAAGTTGAGGAGTATTATAATGCTGAAACTTTCCACAGCCTCTGCAGTGCAAAACTTGTCATTACTGGAGGCAACATTTAGTCTTCACAAAAGCTTACAAAGAGTACTACTACTCAGCATAAAGGTGAAGAGTCATCTTTATTTAGTAGGATTTTAAATCAGATTAAATGCCTTGTCACAAAGCAGAAAGAGTACACAGGAAAATTCTACTGAAGAACTTGTGAACAATTTCCAGATACTTTGCTTAGTTGTTGAGATAACTTACTGCAGGCCTGTCAGGTAGCGATTTTCTTGCCCCCCTTTGGATTTACTCACATTCAGAAAAAAGAAAACATCCATAAACATTCTCAAGAAAACATTCACAAGGATGAGTTGGCTCTGAAACTCTCATTATTTTTCACCCAGTATCAGATCAGTAGGGTGCCAATTCTAGCCCACCTTTGGCTTCTTCAGGTATAACATAACAAGAAAGCTTGAATGCCCATTCTGAAAATTTCAAATTCACTGAGCAATGGTATTTTGAAGCTTTTTTGTCTTCTTAGCATTGGCTTTGACATCAGATTTCTTATGCATTTATTAGCAAGTGCAAAAAGTTAAAAGGTTGCTCTTCTAGAGCACCCCCCCACCTTACCTGACAGTCCTCCCTCTAGTCTTTCAGCAGCTGCAGACAAAAGGCTCCTTCTGTAATACTGCAATGGTTACCTATTCTCTTCTGCAGCACTATGACAGCTAAAAGCCCACTTTCTTCTTTCAAGTCTAGTATTTTATGTACTTGAAAATAATTTGTCAATAATTTTCTCTGTAAAGAAGTACTTCATACCTGTCAGAAAGAGACTGCTGACTGAACCTTCCAGAGAACCTAAGCTCCTCAAACAGCTGCAGGATGAGCTTTCAAAACACTACCCAGGTTACATGCTTTTGAAATACCCCTCAGATTTGCTCAGCCTATTGGAGGGAATTCTCTATTTTCCTTTCTTTCCCAACACATCCAAGGCTGGATATTCATAACCCACGGATCCAGCAAGTTTGTCCTAGCTGTCCAGTAGATCACAGAATGGCTGGGGTTGGAAGGGACCTCTGGAGATCATCTAGTCCAACCCTACTGCTAAAGCTGATTGACCTAGAGCAGGTTGCATAGGATCACATCCAGGCAGATTTTTAATATCTCCAGAGAAGGAGACTCTACAACCTCTCTGGGCAGCCTGTTCCAGTGCTCTGTCACCCTCAAAGCAAAGAAGTTTTTCCTCATGTTCAAATGAAACTCCCTGTCTTTCAGTTTGTGCCTGTTGCCCCTTATCCTGTCACTGGGCACCACTGAAGAGAGTCTGGCCTCATCCTCCTGACACTCACCCTTAAGATATTTATAAGCATTGATAAGATGCCCTCTTAGTCTCCTCCAGGCTAAACAGACCCAGCTCTCTCAGCCTTTCCTCATAAGAGATATGCTCCAGACCCTAAACATCTTTGTAGTCCTCCACTGGACTCTCTCTAGTAGTTCCTTGTCTTTCTTGAACTGGGGAGCCCAGAACTAAGCTGATTGACCTAGAGCAGGTTGCATAGGATCACATCCAGGCAGATTTTTAATATCTCCAGAGAAGGAGACTCTACAACCTCTCTGGGCAGCCTGTTCCAGTGCTCTGTCACCCTCAAAGCAAAGAAGTTTTTCCTCATGTTCAAATGAAACTCCCTGTCTTTCAGTTTGTGCCTGTTGCCCCTTATCCTGTCACTGGGCACCACTGAAGAATCTGGCCCCATCCTTCTGACACCCAACCTTAAGATATTTGTAAGCATTGATAAGATTCCCCTCTCAGTCTCCTCTTCTCCAGGCTAAACATACCCAGGTCTCTCAACCTTTCCTCATAAGAGAGATGCTTCAGTCCCCCAATTATCTTCACAGCCCTCTGTTGGACTCTCTCCAGTAGTTCCTTGTCTTTCTTGAACTGGGGAGCCCAGAACTGGACACAGTACTCCAGATGTGGCCTCACCAGGGCAGAATAGAGGGGGAGTCTTCCTAATGCACCCCAGGATACCACTGGCCTTCTTGGCCACAAGGGCACATTGCTGGCTCATGGTTAGCTTGTTGTGCACCAGGACTTGCAGGTCTTTCTCCACAGGTCAGGAGACCTTTCCAGCAGGTCAACCCCTAACCAGTACTGGTACATGGGGTTATTCCTCCCTAGGTGCAGGACCCTACACTTGCCTTTGTTGAACTTCATTAGGTTGCTCTCCACCCAACTCTCTAGCCTGTCCAGGTCTCACTGAACGGCAGCACAACCTTCTGGTTTATCAGCCACTCCTCCCAGTTTTGTATCATCAGCAGAACTTGCCGAGGGTACACTCTGTCCCTTCATCCAGGTCACCGATGAATAAGCTGAACAAGACTGGACCCAGTACTGGCCCCTGGGGAACACCACTAGCTACAGGCCTCCAACTAGACCCTGCGCAGCTGATCACAAACCTCTGAGCTCTGCCATTCAGCCAGTTCTCAATCCATCTCACTGTCCGCTCATTAACCCACACGTCCTGAGCTTACCTATGAGGATGTTATGGGATACAGTGTCAAAAGCCTTGCTAAAGTCAAGGTAGACAACATCCACTGCTCTCACCTCCTCCACCCAGCCAGTCATGCCACCATAGAAGGCTACCAGATTGGTCAAGCGTGACTTCCCCTTGGTGGATCCATGTTGACTACTCCTGATAACCTTTTTCTGCACAGGCTTAGACATGACATCCAGAATGAGCTGTTCCATCACCGTTCCAGGGATGGAGGTGAGGCTGACCAGCCTGTAGTTTCCTGGGTCCTCCTTCTTGCCCTTTTTGAAGACTGGAGTGACACTGGCTTTCCTCCAGTCCTCAGGCACCTCTCCTGTTCTCCATGACCATTCAAAGATGATGGAAAGTGGCTTAGCAATAACATCTGCCAGCTCCCTCAAGCACTCATGGATGCATCCCATGGGGGGCCCATGGATTTGTGGGTGTCCAGTTTGCCTAAATGATCTCTAGCCTGATCCTCCTCAACCAAGGGACAGTCTTCCTTTTTCCAGACTTTCCTACCTCCAGGGTCTGGGATTCTCAAGGGCCAGCCTTAGCAGTAAAGACTGAAGCAAAGAAGGCATTCAGTAACTCAGTAACTTTTCTGTATCCTGTCACCAGGGCATCCACATCAGTGGGCCCACATTTTCCCTAGTCTTCCTTTTGCTACTGATATACCTGAAGAAGCCCTTCTTGTTGTCCTTGACATCCCTTGCCAGATTTAATTCCAAGTGGACCTTACCCTTCCTCACCACATCCCTGCACACTCTTACAACACCCCCATATTCCTCCCAAGTGGCCTGTCCCTTTTTCCACATTCCACAAACTTCCTGCTTCCATTTGTGTTTTGCCAGAAGCTCCTTGCTCATCCATGCAGGTCTCCTGCCCCCTTTGCTTGATTTCTTACTCATAGGGATGCATCAATCTTGAGCTTGGAGCAAATGCTGCTTGAATATTAACCAGCTCTCTTGGACCCCCCTATCTTCTAGAGCCCATATCCCATGGGATTCCTCCAAGTAGGTCCTTGAAGAGGCCAAAGTCAGCTCTCTTAAGTCCAGGGTTGTAATCCTACTTATTGTCCTGCTTCCTCCACACAGGATACTGAACTCCACCATCTCATAGTCACTGCAGCCAAGGCTGCCCACCACCTTCACATCCCCAACCAGTCCTTGTTTGTTTGTTAGTACAAGATCGAGCAGCACACCTCTCCTCATTGGCTTCCCCACCACCTGTGTCAAAAAGTTATCATCAATGCTCTGCAGAAACCTCCTGGACTGTGTGTGCCTGGCTGTGTTGTCTTTCCAGCAGATATCAGGGTGGTTGAAGCCCCCCATGAGAACCAGGGCCTGTGATCATAAGGCCACTTTCAGCTGTCTGTAGAAGGCCTCATTAACTTCCTCTTCCTCATCAGGTGGCCTGCAGTAAACACCCACAATAGTGTCATCCATATTAGCCTGCCCCTTAATTCTTAAGCTCTCAACTCATTCTTCATCCACCCCTAGGCAGAGCTCAATACATTCCAGTTGCTCTCTCACATAAAGACCAACTCCACCACCTTGCCTTGCTGGCCCGTCTTTCCTAAAAAGTACGTAGCCATCCATGACAGCATTCCAGTTATGCGAGATATCCCACCATGTCTCTAACTGCAACAAGATCACAGCCCTGTGACTGCACACAGATATCTAATTCTTCCTGTTTATTCTCCACGCTGTGTGCGTTGGTGTACAGGCATTTCAGAGAGCAAATTGAGCATACATGTTTCCCAGGAGGAGTGCAAGAGGATCCACCATAGCTATATACACAGCCTTGAAGTGATCGGCCTTCTGGTTGTTACAAGTCATTTTAATGCTGGCATGTCAAACTTCAGTGTTCTTCATTAAGGAGAGCCACAAGCTCTATTGATTCAGGAAGACAGTATTTCAATGGTTTGTATTTAACATTTTCAGTGAAACCACAAGGAGTAGAAAGGGTCTGGAGCATAAGTCTTACGAGGAGCAGCTGAGGGAACTGGGATTGTTTAGTCTGGAGGAGGCTCAGGGGAGACCTTATCGCTCTCTACAACTACCTGAAAGGAGGTTGTAGTGAGATAGGTGTTGGTCTCTTCTCCTAAGTAGCTAGCGATACGACAAGAGGAAATGGCCTCAAGTTGCACCAGGGGAGGTTTAGATTGGATATTAGGAGAAATTTCTTCACGGAAAGAGTAGTCAAGCATTGGAACAGGCTGCCCAGAGAAGTGGTGGAGTCACCATCCCTGGAGGTGTTCAAAAAATGGGTAGA